TTTTCATAGTTTTTGTATTAAAATATATTTTATTTAATGTAAGTATAGTTACTCCAGCTTTTTATTTTTATTTCTTAGGTTTTCATTTGCATGTTATATCTTTTTAATCCCTTTAGTTTTAGTCTGTGTGTCTTCATAGGTGAAGTGAGTTTCTTGTAGGCAGCATATATTTGGGTCATGGTTTGTTTTTCTTTCTTTTTTTTTTTTTTTAATCCATTGAGCCATTTCATGTCCCTTGATTAGAGAATTTAGTTCATTTACATTCAATGTTCTTATTGATAGGTAGGAATTTACTACTTTCATTTTGTTCTTTATTTTCTAGTAGTTTTATGGCCTTCTTTCCTTCCTGCTTGCCTGCCTTCCTTCCTGTCTTCCTTTGTGGAAAAGTGATTTTTCTCATGTGGTATGTTTTAATTTCTTGCTTTTCATATTTCATGTATCTACTTTTGTTTATTTATTTACTTAAGGCTACCACAATGCTTGCAAATTACATCTTATACACCATTTGTTTGTTTGTTTGTTTGTTTGTTTTGAGACTGAGTCTCACTCTGTTGCACAGGCTGGAGTGCAGTGGCACAATCTTGGCTCACTGCAAGCTCCACCTCCTGGGTTCATGCCACTCTCCTGCCTCAGCCTCCCGAGTAGCTGGGATTACAGGTGCCCACCACCATGCCCGGCTAATTTTTTTTTTTTTTTTTGTATATTTAGTAGAGATGGGGTTTCACCGTGTTAGCCAGGATGGTCCTGATCTCCTGACCTCGTGATCTGCCTGCCTCGGCCTCCCAAAGTGCTGGATTACAGGTGTGAGCTACCACGCCCAGCCCCATAAGCCATTATTTTAAACTGATGACAATGCATGACAATTTAACTCTGATTCTAAGAAAAAAAAAAAAGCAAGCAAAGAGAAAACTAAAAAAGACTGTGTAATTCAAGTTCATCACCCCACTATTTAACTTCTTGTTGTTTCTATTTATGTCATTTGTACTATTTTTAAATAAGTTTTTGTAGTTATTATTTTTTGAGACAGGGTCTCACTCTGTTGCCCAGTCTGGAGTGCAGTGGCATGATCTCAGCTCACTGCAACCTTTGCCTCACAGGTGCAAGTGATTCTCTTACCTCAGCCTCCTGAGTAGCTGGGATTACAGGTGCACTCCACCATGCCCAGCTAATTTTTGTATTTTAGTAAAGACGGGGTTTCACCATGTTGGCCCACCTGGTCTCAAACTCCTGACCTCAAGCAATCTGCCCACCTTGGCCTCCCAATATGCTGGGATAACAGGCATGAGCCACTGTGCCTGGCCTACTTATTATTCTCAATAGGCTTGTCTTTTAGTCTTCATACTCAAGATATAAGTAATTTACATACCACAATTGCAATGTTAATGTATTCTGTGTTTGTGCACTAACTGTTATCAGTGAGTTTTGTACCCACGTATAATTTCTTATTGCTTGATAATACCCATTTCTTTCAGATTGAAGAACTTTCTTTAGCATTTCCTGTGAGACAGGTCTGTGTTGACAAAATCCCTCAGCTTTTGTTTGTCTCAGAAAGTGTTTATTTCTGCTTCCTGTTTGAAGGATATGTTGGATATATTATTGGATATAATGTTCTTTTTTTTTTTTTTTTTTTTTTTTGAGATGGAGTCTCGCTCTGTCGCCCAGGCTGGAGCACAGTGGCTGGATCTCCGCTCACTGCAAGCTCCGCCTCCCGGGTTTATGCCATTCTCCTGCCTCAGCCTCCTGAGTAGCTGGGACTACAGGCGCCCACCACCTCGCCTGGCTAGTTTTTTGTATTTTTTAGTAGAGAGGGGGTTTCACCGTGTTAGCCAGGATGGTCTTGATCTCCTGACCTCATGATCCACCCATCTCGGTCTCCCAAAGTGCTGGGATTACAGGCTTGAGCCACCGCGCCTGGCCTGGATATAATGTTCTAAGACAAGATTTTTTCCTTCTGCACTTTGAATATGTCATGCCGCTCTCTCCTTGGCAGTAAGGTTGCCACTGAAAAGTTTGCTGGCAGACATTGGAGCTCCTTTGTATGTTATTTGTTTCTTTTCTGTTGATGCTTTAGTATCCTTATCCTTGACCTTTAGAAGTTTGATTATTAATTGTCTTATTTAGGTTACATGTGCTTGATGTTCTATGGCTTTCTTGTACTTAAATATTGATATCTCTCTCTGGATTTGAAAAGTTCTGTGTTGTTATTTCTCTGAATAAACTTTCTACCCCAGTCTCTCTTTCTATTTCCTCTTTAAAGCCAGTATCTCTTAGATCTGTCCTTCGGAGGCTATTTTCTAAATATTGTAAGTGTGTTTCATTCTTTTTTCTTTTTTCTCCTCTGACTGTGTATTTTCAAGTATCCTGTCTTCAGCCTCGGTATTTATTCTGCTTGATTAGATCTGCCGTTGAGAGACTCTAATGCATTTTTCAGTTTGTCAACTGAATGTTTAAGTTCCAGAGTTTCTGCTTGACTTTTTAAAAATTTCAATCTCTTCGTTAAATTTCTTTGACAGGATTCTTAATTCCTTCTCTGTATTATTTTGAAGTTTGTTAAGCTTCCTTGAAATAGCTATTTTGAATCCTCTGTTCTGAAATGTTACATATGCCTGTCCTTCTGGGATTGGTCCCTGGTACCTTATTTTAGTTCAGTTGGTGAGGTCATGTTTTCCTGGATGGTCTTGATGCTTGTGGATGTTCACAATGTCTGGGCTTTAAAGAGTTTGGTACTTATTTTTATCTTTGCAGTCAGGGCTTATTTGTACCATCCTCCTTGAGAGGGCATTCCAGGTATTCAAAAAGAATTGAGTGTTGTGATCTAAGTTTTTGGTCACTACAGTTCTATCTGCACTAGATGGCACCCCAAGCCCAGTAATGTTGCAGCTCTTGTGGACTCATGTAAGTATCACCTTGGTGGGCTTGGATAAAGTCTGGAGAAACTTTTTTGATTACCAGGCAGAGTCTCTTGTTCTCATCCCTCAGTTTTCCCCAAACAAATGAAGTCTTGCCATGTTGAACTGGAGTTGGTGAAGGGTGATGCAAGCAATCTTGTGTCCACCACAGCTGGGACTGTGCCAGGTCATACGGGAAGCCATTATGTTACTGAGCCTTTCCTAAGGCCTGTGGTGACTACTGCCTGGCTACAGATGACGTTTATTCTAGGTCTAAGGGCTCTTTAGTCAGAAAGTAGTGAATACTACCAAGACTGGATCTTTCTCTTTAGGGCAGTGGATTCCCTTCTGTCCCAGAGTGTGTCTAGAAATTCCATCAAGGAGCCTGGAATCAGAGGCTTCAGGTGCTTGCTGCCTTACTTATTGTGGCTAAGCTTATATCCAAGTTGCAAGACAAAGTCCTCTTTACTCTTTTACTCCTTTTACTCATTACTCTACTATCCTCAGGCAGAAGGAGTCTTTCCCTGAGCTGCACTGCCTGGGGTTGGAGGAGGGGTGATGCAAGAACTCCCTTGGCCGCCCCATCTGGTGTCTCACTGGGTCACATTCACTCCAAGTCCACTGGCTCTGAGTCCAGTGCAGCACAAGAACTTGCCAAAGTTCTGCAGTCCTTGTGGACTGCCTTTAATAGTTATTCAGGACTCCATGGCACTTTAGTTTCTCGTAGTGGGGCCAGGCAAAACTCAGGCTCTTGCCACTGGAGTGGAGGAGTCCCCTCTATGGCTGGGGCTGCTTTAAATGCTTCTTCCATGGTCACTGGACAAATTCTGCCCTATGCTGTGTTCCACTGTGACAGGGTAGGACTGAGTTTCAATGCCAGTTCCCGCAATCATGTCTCTCTCCCTCACCCAAGCATACAGATTCTCTCTTCATGAGCTGCCAAAAGATGAGGAGTGATGTAGGCAATGCAACACTGTCGTTCCTGCCCACTTCAGTGCCTCTTTCCTTGACATAATGTTAGAACTAGCTACCGTGATTGCTTACCTGACTTTTGTATCTTATGGAGATGCTTTCTTGTGGGGATAGCTGTTAAATTTGGTGTTCCTCCATGGATTTGCTAGATTGTTCTATTTGGCCATCTTGCTTCCCCCAAATTTCCTAATTTTAAGTGCCTATAACAACAACAGCAAAGTAATAATAACTTTAGAGAAAAAAATCAATGTCTAAACTTAATAAATTCTATCTGTAGGCCAGATTTGGTCCAGTGTAAGCATGAACTCCAGTCAAATTCTCTAGGTTCCAATTTTTGCTTCAGGATGTACTAGATACATAACCTCACAAGTTAGTTCTGTTACCTCAGTCCTTAATATATAAAGTGAAACAAATAGCACCAACCTCCTACAATGTTTATGAGATGAAATGAGTTTCTAATATATTTCCATGTTTCTGAGACACCACTAAAAACAAGATGCATCATTATTTTATGTGTCCCTAAGAAAGAAAAGATGGCTGCTAATTAACCTATGACACAATGCTTTCTTATCACTCGGAATTGTTGTTTTATAATTATTTAAAGAGCTCTTTCAGAGTTATTTTCACAGTAATTTTTATCATATGTCACTCATGGGTGTATGTGTATAAGAAATACTAAGTGAAATAATTTGGTTTGTATTCTTAAAACCTCCCCACATTATTAGTCTGACATGAATTAGTTTTCCATTGTGATTTAAACACAGTATTATTGTTGGTGCTATTAGCAGCACTGGTAATGTAGCAGTTAAAAGAGTGCTCCCCATTGTCTCTTGGAATTTTTTCTAAGTCACTGAAACCATAACAAGAGTTTTCATGTTGGCACTTTCTTGATCTTACTAGAAGATGTCAATGGAGAATTTTCAAACAGGAAGACTTGTGTTGTTTCTTTAAATGGTCCTTAAGTTAAAGATTGTTGGCTAAACATTCAAAGGATTTCAATTGTCCCATCACTTACCTAGAATAACAACAAAAAAAGTTTGTGCGTATACAAACATCAACAGCTACATAATCTCTGCTGTTTTTCTGAGAATTACTGTCAAAATTTTATTAATTATAAGATTTTTTGACTTTCCTAGATGATAAAATATAAAAAAGTTTATTTGAAAAACTTTAGATAAAGAAATATCAAAGCGTTTGATAAATAAAAATAAATTTTTATAGAGAAAAAAGCTAGTCTTTTCACTCAAGTCTCAGTTCCATCATTTATTATCTATATAGCCTTCTTTAAGACATTGACCTTTTTATCTATAAAACAAACATAATTTGACTTGCAATCGTTGCATGTGACTGTACATGGGTGAGTGGATGGTCACGTGTAGAGCATCTTGTGTATGTCAATTCAGCTATCTGAGTCTGAGGGCTGAAAGAACCAAAATTGGGGAAAGAAAAGAACATCGAAAGATTCATGAATTAGATATCTTTGGAAAAGGCAGACCAAATTTAAAAATTTCCTCAAAGAAGAAAAAACGGATATGTAATAATGGTTTTGCCCAATAAATGTAACCTGTTGAGAACAGAGGAGGAAAGTTGATGAGGAAAGAGAGGAAATAGCACAAAGAGAGAAGCATGTGCCTACACTGGACATTCTGGTTGGGTGATCTCAGAAAGCTTGAGTCAAGGTCCATCTGTCTGACCTGGGATGTGTGTTCACACAAGTCCAGGAACAGTCATTGTTTGTAACGCTGAAGACTCTGGGGCCTCCTTTTTCCATTAAACTGGATTCCAAAGTCCCTCCTTCAAAAAACTAAAACAAACAAACAAAAACAAACCACTGCTTCAGCTTTTTTGGTTCTTATTTACAAACTGGCCTGTTGGCCTCTTCCTTACCCTAAGCCCCTGGAAGTATCTGGACTTAGAAAATGAGGTCAGTGCCAGAGAAAAGTAAGGCAGAGGGAACAGCTACCTCCCTCCTGCCCCACATCCAAGGATCACAAATGATTCGGCGAGCTGAATGAGGCATTGTATATTTCATTTACAATGACTGTACAACAGCTGTATAATCGATGTTGTTGAAGATATGAATGTTGCTCAGAGTGTAGCATAAATGTCCACAGTGAGCTGCAAATGTGAATAAGAATGGCCTTGCCTGCATAGTAATTGGTATTATTACTGGAATGAATGGGAAAGCCACATATGGATGAATGGGTGGGGCTACAAAAGGGTGCAGCCTCAGAGACAAATGGTAGCTTTTATTTTCTCTTATCCATGCCTGTTATTTCAAATAACCATCCACAGTGAGTGGAGGAAAAGGGATAGGAAGTAGGAATATAGTGGAGAAAGAGTGAAGCTGCTCATCTACTACTTTATATCATGCCCCTTCCTGTTTTCCAGTGCCTACACTTATTAATTATAACAGAGTATATCACACATCCCCTCCTGGAAAAACAAAATCTGTCTGTTACAAAGGGTAGAAGGATAGACTCAGGTGAAGGGTGTGGGGGTGGGGGGAGACATAGGGAAGAGAAACACTTCAGGTTAATTGGAGCTGAGAATATAAAATACTCGTCTTAAAGTGTGTGCTTCAGTTATGAGAAGGAAAGTGTCGAGATCATAATGTTTTCTGTGCAAGATTCAACACAGCATGGGTGTTTTAAAACAAGCAGTAATCATTTCTCATGGAGAAATTATAAGCAGCAGCTCCAGGCTCAGGACAAGCGCATGGGAGAGCCGTTCTTTTCATTTCTGTAGAAAGGCACAAGGAGAAACACGGTAGTTAGCAGATGAGTCCCTTGAACCAAATGGCAGAGTTAGTGACATACAGAATTATATAGTTCAATTTACTTATTGCTTTATTCATTCAGAGAGAAATGACACTGAATTCTCCTAGAATTTTGCATATTAGGAGGGAAGAAATTTTGGTTTTAAAAATCAAACTGTGTGGCTTCTGCAAAGGTTGCAAAGCAAATTGGTCAACTTCATAATCAGGAAATAACAGAAAATTGTTAAATGATTTATTTGGCAAAGCTGGCTATGTTATTTCTTTTAGAGAAGAGACTTTTTGAGCCTGATACAAAAACAGCCTCTGCCCTGATAGACACAGTTTTTGTTTGCTTGCTGTCATCCTGGGTGCACCTATGTGGCATCTGAATCACTATTAGGTCTCTGTTTAAAGATTCATTTTTTGCTAGAAATAATTTCTCTAAAGTAATAAACAATGCACTGCATAACACCACTTTAAAAATTCTTAGAAATAACTGCAAGGAAATTAGTTACAATTATTCACATAGTTCCTCAAAATGGTAGCACATGAGAAGAAAGAGGGGTCCCTCTCACCCGTTTTTTGAAGACCATCTTTGTTTACTTCATTCCCAAGTATTAAGAGATTGCATGATCCATTTGCATAGGATAACTAACATATACCACATCATTTGCACGTCTGCAAGTACACGTGAGTAACCGTAATTACACGTGACACCAATTACTCTATTACTTTGTATTAAATTATAATGGAAAATTCCACTAGAGAATTGAAGCCTAATTGCATCTTAATTTGCATAATTTTGCATATTAATTACATCTCAGATGAATAATAAATTTCAGCAGATTTTTAATTTATGCATAGACACAAAAACAAGTGGAGAAATAATTTAGAAAAAAATACCAGCAACTATTACTTAGGGCATTCAACTAATTTTGCTTAGTTTAGCAAAACAAAACTTGGTTTGTTTAATATAGCATCTTTAGATTGATTGCTGTTTACTGCACAATATGTCAGTCTTGAAACATAGGTGCAGGCATGGTTTTTCTTAATAAAAAAGTGTTCAATTATAGCATTTTAAGTTTGATTTTTTATATTTTGATAAAACTGTCTCAGAGATAATATTGTTTCATTGGAAATATCTTTGTGATACATTTTGATTGAGACTTAATTTCTGTTGCAGTTATTTTAAATTCAAGGGATTATAAAAATAGAATATAAAAATATCTTTGTGAAAGAGATCACTAATAAAATATATCAAGTGTTTTCTTTCTTGAGTTTACTATGAAGTCACTCAAGATTGTTTTAGTGATTTTTGTATGAATGATTCAGAGTGAGAAATTCCATGTGTTTCGTTTTATAGCATACAACAATTTAGAGGAATGGCTTTCAAAGATTACTACTATTTTCTGACTGTTTTCTTTGTTTCTCACTGCTTGCACGGTAAACAGTAACATTTGTTCTTAATTGCTAGAGACCTGGGTTTTAAATTTAGTCACCTTTACTTTGGATTTATTAAATAAACAAAAGGTATATTTCTCAGAGATAATTAATGCATTTTAGTTACATAGCTGTATCTAGGTTGACAGTCCTTAAAAAAAAGGAAAAAAAAAAACCACCGACTTAGTGTTCCTCAAATGAAAATATGTAACTGAAAATTCACTGTGTTCCTCAAATGACAATATGTAACTGAAAATTCATTTCATCTACTTCTTGCCTAAACCCAATCTGTATTGCTTTATACCTGCTGCTACTGTTAAAGGACGGGCGGAAACCTTTAGCTCTGCCTCCACTAAGTCTAATACTATGATCATTTGCCAAATTATACAAAAGGAGAGGATGACACGTCCTAATAAATCAGGAAACTGTCAGGATTAATAATCTCAGCCGTCATCTGTTTTCCTATAAAAGCCCTACTGGCATCAAATATTTTCCAGTTTGTTTTGCAGTTCTGTTGGTGCGGAAACTGGACCTGTGCCAGCCTGGTGCCGTGCAACCTCCAAGAAGCCATTCTATATGTCTTTTATAACATTAGTCTAAATTTCACAATTGTGCTGGTTCACAGGGCGGTAAGCAAGAAGTCTTTACAACATATGTTCCCCTTCTCCGGTTACCAATCATTGTTACGATTTGCTATTTGATAGGCAATAGTTTGAGCTTAAAGGCTTAGATTTGTCTTTGTTTCCTAATAGTTCAGTATTTTCTGTTTGTGTCAAAAAAGTTTGCCTTATTCTTAGGCAAGCTAGAACCAATGGAAAAATAAAAACTCACCAGTGCTTTCTTTATTACATGAATTTCTATTAGGTGCTTGACTCTGGTCTTTGCTTTCTGTTGCCAGGTTACAGTCCTAGGAACACCTTTGATTGTTTGTATGTTTAAAAGCAGAAATAGTTCAGCTATCTAAAATATAACTGAATCGATGATTGCATCTGGTTTTTTTTTTTTTTTTACTTTTTTTGTTCAATCCTTTTGACCAGGTTCTTATATTAAAGAGAGGTTTGAGCTGGATGAATGCCTCAAACCAACCCAGTCTTTCCAACATTTAAACAATGGTTCCCTCTTGTGGCTATGCTTCAATAGTGCGATTTAAGAACGGAGGAAAGTAAAAATCCGGTGACTATTAAAAAGATTTCGACACAGCATACTGTAGTGATCTACTTGCACCTTGTATTGAGAGGCATTCCCAGAACTCTCAAGTTTTTCTGATTTATTTTCAGTAAGGTATAAGTTTTGGTGTTTGGGGTGAAAGAACAGCCAAGCATCCTGATGCTTATTTCCTGGTGGTATTAGAAAAATACTCTCCTATAGGGGATAGAGTCCACATTTTAGGACATTTTTGAATATGTTAAAGTGTATGTTGGGAAAAAGGCAGTTTAGGCTGTCTCTGTAGCTTTAGAAATACATTTATAACTTCACTATTAAAAATATTAATGATTTCCTAAAGGAACATCGTAAGTGTACAATTAAATCTAGATTATGCTTGTCCGTTCAGATTTTATCCTCAAAGATCATCTGAGAGGGGGTAAAAATCTTACAATTAACCAGCTCCTCTAAAATGATCTTTCCAAGCACCTTTGATATATGCTTTTAGAGATTTATTTTGAGTCAGATTTCCCCAGGGGCCACCATCTTACACTCTCCAAATTACCGTGATAAAAAGCATTCTTCTGACACCGTAACTGTAAACAGCCCACAAATACTTTCTGTCTGTGTTAAGCTATGTTCAGAACAGCAACAGCCAAGAGCTGTCCCTTAAGTAGGTTTTTTTTTGTTTTTTTTTTTGTTTTTTTTTTTTGTTTTCTTTCTGAAGACTGTGTTTAATGTAAAAGTAAAGTGTTGTTAGTAACAGAGACAAGAATCTGCACCACGGTCATATGACTGTGTCTACAAAAGATTGCAGCCATCCACGCAAGTCGGATGCGATGTGTTTTAGTACACTTCAACATTCTGAGTAATTACAATGCCGACTTTCAATTCTACTTTAAGGATCCTTTTGAAAGAATGAAAGCATTCGTTCTTGTCAAGCCATTTTCAAGCCACAGTCTTTCTCATTCACCACAGAGTTTAAGTATTTGAAAGTTTAACATGGAAAATGAGGTTCGGGTTGGAAACGGACATGATTTCTGTGTGTCCTAGGAGGGTGATAGAAAGAGAGCTGGTCGTCCAGAAGCAGGAGTATGGCGATAATATAATTACCGACAACATATCACTTACTCTTCCGATTCCAAATGAACTCCTTCCTTTCCCTCCCTCATCTAGAACAGGCTCAGGCACCAAGTTACAAGTCTCTTCACTTCATTGCCGGGCAGCTCCGCAGGTTTTGCTCATGAGCCTCCATTTTGTTTAGAAGTGCACACCTTTCCATCGTTAATAAAAACACAGGCATTTAATTGTTAACTATTCACCTGCAAGATGAGTCACATCAAAAGCTCTCATAAGAGAGGAAGCTTATATATTAAGGAAATAGGACTAGCATCAACTTAAGTTTTAGTACAAATTCCAAAATTGAGAAGAATGATTTTTCCCCCCCTTAAAATAGTGAACTTAAAAAGCAAAGTTATTTCCCATTTTGGTTTCTGATGCCACTGTCTACCATGACTGGGCTCGGGAGGCACCTTTGCACACGCATTTCCTTTTGTCACGTTCAACCCAGGTCTGGTCTGAAGCTTCCTGTGGAGTTAATGCCCAACCCACTACAATTCTTTCCCTTGATTTTTTTCCCTTTCTTTTTGTTCATTAAAAAGATATAAGATTAGGCTGGGGGTAGTGGCTCACGCCTGTAATCCCAGCACTTGGAGAGGCCTAGGCAGGCGGATCACCTGAGGTCTGGAGTTCAAGACCAGCTTGACCAACATGGTGACACCCTGTCTCTGCTAAAAAGAAAGATACAAAAATTAGCCAGGCGTGGTGATGCGCACAAGCTGAGGCATGAGAATCTCTTGAACCTGGGAGACAGAGGTTGCAGTCCCTAAGCCAAGATCATGCGACTGCACCTCAGCTCAGTCTCAAAACAAAAAAAAAAAAAAAAAAAAAAGAGATATGATTAAATGAAACAATGACCAGGAGATGTTCCTCCACACATGTGTAGTGATTACCTTCTTGTGGGTATTGAAAAATGTCCATCAACTGGTTTTTTATGTGAACTGTACCGTCAAACTGTTCATTGCTCCTTGCATTTGCTCACTTTTTGTCTCTGCTTCTGTCTGTCTCCCTCTCTGTTTGTCTGTTTCTCTCTTTCTTGTTGAGATTATCAATGTAATATACTTGCACAGGAAAAATAAAACCTAAAAAGCCAATTGGCGCCTTACCTTCCTCCTTCATTCTCTTAGGAAATCACAGAGCCCCTTGGAAGTTGGCAAAACAAAGAAGGAAATAGGGGAACTGTAACACAGAGGAATCAGAACTTAGATTTAATGATCCAGTAAAATGTCAACCAAATATTCAGGCTTTGAGACTGACACCTATTTGCCAGCTTTTTATTAATATTTTGCCAAAAAATGGTGAAAGAAGTCCTGATAATTACCATATATTCTGATCATTGTTTAATAAAGGAGACTTTAGCAACAAAAGAACAGATAGAACATAATCTCAGAAAGAAAAAAAAGACATCCTTTTCCATTAGCTTTATTTAGTTTTTAAAAATCATCACGTTTATCTCATTTTTCTTCTTTTTCTCCTTTATGCTTTTATCAATTAGATTAGCTAAACTTCAGTATACAGTAGTGCTAGTCTACAGACTAAAATCTGGAACACATAAGCTCACTATTTGTTGTTCTTTAGAGTCCTGCTCAAATTTACCTCTTTCAAGAGATTCTCCTTGATTTTCCATGTGAAAATGAACCGTTGTTTCATCTAAGCTCCTACATATTATTTTATTTTCATCCATTTTATTTTGAATTTGATTGATACTGCACTTACCTCCATCTCCAGATTGTAAACTCCATGAGGTCAGGAATTCTTATTACTTATTCACTTTGTAAGGAGCACTCCATAAATGCCAGTCGACCAAATGAACCCAAATCTGACAGAAAAAGATATGATTTATGCAAGAGCTGATTTTTCCTTCCACGGAGCAGTAATTCCTGGTAGGCACATAGAAGGGGGGTTAGAAATGTTAGGAAATGAAATCGATCACCTTCACATCATGCTGGCAATGCCACAGTGCCTAAAAGGAAGATGTAAATTCTCCAAATTGTTCTATTTATATATATGTATTTATGTGTGTGTGTGTGTGTGTGTCTGAGGGTTTAACTTCCAACCTCCAGATATGTACACACACGTAAATACACACACACACATTACACACATATACATCAAGTTACTGGAACTTTGCTCCAATTAAGAACACAACCCAAAGTTTCAATATGGAGAGGAAAATATGTATTTTTATTGGCCTTGCTCTTGGCTGGCCACTTTTATTTTTCAGATTCTCTTTGCTAAACCTGATTCCTGGTGTGCTCTGGTACAAAGATCTGTGGCTGTCATGGGGTTGCAGATTTTAGAGTTAGAAAGGCGTTAGGAATTGATCTGTCTCCACTTTCCAAATATATGGAAGAGGAAATGGAGATCGAGGAAGACAAAACATCTAGGTCTTCGGACTTGCCAGCCAGTGCTTTTCCCACTCAAACTATTAAATTGACAGAAGGGAAAATCATGTGGCAATTTGTGCTTTTAAAACAGAGAATTTTTAGAGGCAATCTAATTATTTTTATATTACATTAAGAAAGGAAGAAAGGGAAGAAGAGCGAAGCACCAAAATCAAGAAGGTAAGCTCTTTGGAAAACCTGGTTTTCATCAGCTGGTCATAACCTCTGGAGCGAAGACTGGGCCCAGAGGAATATTCCGGACCGATCTATTCTTGGCAGAAACTGCTTTTTGGGTGAGTAAGCCGCCCACTAGCCTTTTTTTTTCTCCCATCATCTAGATAAAAATGAGTGTTTAAAAACTGTGCTAAAATTTTCAAAAACACCTTAAAAAGATTCCATTACTTAAAGTGATTTGGATAATTGTGTTCAATGGTAGCCATTATTTAAAAATATAATTAGTTGCTGAACTCAGAGAAGGAGGGAAATTTCTGCAGGTGTTTCTCATTATTTGCTATGCATACAAAATATCTGCATAAATTACCATTATTATTCCAATGTATACTAAGAGACAATAAAGCATTAGCAAGCAAAGAAGAACGTTGTTGACCCACAGACTGTGAGAGAGAGGCCTGGATGCACAGTAATAGTGTGTTGGCCTTCAGTGCTGTTGCTGCACATGTGCTACCGCATTCAGGATTAAAAGAAACAATTTTGCACCTGTAACAATGTTACATATGGAATGTAACTCCATCAGAAAGACATTTAAAATAGGAGAGGGGGCAGGGAGAAACAACAAAACAACTGGAAAAAAATAAGGCTATAATTGTTTCAAAAGGGTGACACACACTTAAACTAGGTATCTCGGATTTCTTTGAGCTTAAAGCCCTAGTAGAACAGACAACTGAATTTTTTTAAGTATGTGGTGCATTTGCCAGTTTTCTTTCATTATTGTTAGGGTTTGATGGCAATGTTATTGTCAGTATGGTCCAACCGAACTCTCTACGATAATGGAAATATTCCATATCTGCATAATCCAGCAGTAGCCATTAGTCACATGTGGCTGTTGAGTCCCTGAAATGTAGCTGGTGCAACTAAGTAATTGATTTTTTACAATTTAATTTTAATTAATTTAAATATAAATAACCATATCTGGTGGCTAATGTAATGGACAGCATAGGGAAGTTAGTTGCATTGAGTTGTCCTTGTCAATAAAAATGGTAACTAATATCTTTTGAGTACTTACTACATACCAGGCACTGAGCTAAATATTATCTCATTTAATTAACACCACAACTCTATGAAGTAGGTGCTTTTATGCTTGAGAAGACTGAGGTCTGTAGAAATTAAGGTATTTGTCTTGATATCACCAGACCAGCATATGAAAGGGTCAAGATATAATCTAGGCAGTCTAACTCCAGATTTCTCCCTGTGAACTCTTGTTAAGGTGGCATCAAGAAACAACACGCTGCTGAATTTACTCTACTAATCCACAATAAATCAACTTCTGTCAGTCTCTAATATGAAATCAAATGATAAATGAATATGTAATACATTGGAAGTAAAGATTATCCAGTGATCAATCCAACTCTTACCATTGACAAGAGGGAGGCCCAAAGCAGATGAATTCAAACGTGTTAGTGCTTAGTAAGCTTAAAACCAAGGTCATTGTAATATATGCAAATGTAGCGAGCGTCCCAAACTGCACATAACATAGCAAACACTCATAAAATGGTGTGAGTGCATCCTCCAGGGAAATCTGATACAGCGACCAAGAAGGAAGACTTGGAAGAGATGTTGGGGCCTGATCATTTGGTGATGAAAAGCAAATGAAAAATACTGCCTGGAGGCCGGGTTCGGTGGCTTACACCTGTAATTCCGGCACTTTGGAAGGCCAAGGTGGGTGGATCACTTGAGTTCAGGAGTTCAAGACTAGCCTTGGCAACATGGTGAAACCCCATCTCTACTAAAAATGCAAAATGTTAGCCAGGTGTGGTGGAGTGCACCTGTGGTCCCAGCTACTTGGGGGGCTAAGATGGGAGGATTGCTTGACCCTGGAAGGTGAGGGTTGCAGTGAACAGAGACTGAGATTGTGCCACTGCCCTCCAAACTAGGTCACAGAGTAAGACCCAGTCTCAAAAAAAAAAAAAAAAAAGAAAAAGAAAGAGAAAGACTGAAAGAAAAGAAAAATACTGATTGGGAAATGAAAGTAAGCCACTAACAATTTGATACATCATTCTGCTTTTCATTTATAATTCTTGCATGATATGAGTAACACTCTGCTGATATAATATCCCCTCCCACTTATAGTTCAAGAGTTCACAAACCAGTTCATGTTTAAGGCCCATCCAAACAAGTGACTGCTACTAAGGGATCAAAGGAGAAAACAAGGCAGAAAATTGGTACATCTTATTTTTAATAATTCCCATATTATAATGGATATTAACAAAAACCTGTTTTGAATCTTGCTGCCATAGCCTTTAGAATATTCTTAAAATTCATGCAATCTTTGTGGGGGTTCTGTACTTCTACATATATTTTGACTAAAATCAACTAGAATCTTTTGTCCAGATGGTGAAAGAAAACTTTCTTTTTGCCTTAGCTAGGTGCTTTACACATCTTAGGTAGGCAAAATTATTCACATTGGACTTCAGAGAGATTAAGTAATTCACCCAATGACATTCAACCAGTGAGTTAGAAAATCAAGATGTGAACTCAGGTCTATCAAGTTCCAAAAATTGTCACTCTTTACTGTTCTGACCTGCTCCCCACTGCCATACAGTATTGTCTGTGATCTGGGCTTAAAATTATGAATATAGTTGTATTAGTCCATTTTCATGCTGCTGATAAAGACATACCTGCGACTGGGCAATTTACAAAAGAAAGAGGTTTAATGGAACTTACAGAACCACATGGGTGGGGAAGCCTCACAATCATGGCAGAAGGCAAGGAAGAGCAAGTCACATCTTACATGGATGGCAGCAGGCAAAAAAAGCTTGAGCAGGGAAACTCCCTTTTTAAAAAACCATCAGATCTTGTGAGATTCATTCACCACCACAAGAACAGCACAGGAAAGACTTGCCCCCATAATTCAATTACCTCCCACTGGGTTCCTCCCATAACACATGGGAATTGTGGGAATTACAAGATGAGATTTGGGTGGGCACAAGGGGCCAAACCATATCATTCCACCCCTGGTCCCTCCCAAATCTCTTATCTTCACATTTCAAAACCAATCATACCTTTCCACAGTCCCCCAAGTCTCAACTTATTTTGGCATTAACTCAAAAGTCCACAGTCCAAAGTCTCAACCATGACAAGGCAAGTCTCTTCTGCCTATGAGCCTGTAAAATCAAAAGCAAGTTAGTTACTTCCTAGATACAATGGGGGTAGAGGCATTGGGTAAATACAGCCATTTCAAATAGAAGAAATTGGCAAAAACCAAGGGGCTACAGGCCCCATGCAAGTTTGAAATCCAGCGGGGTAGTCAAATCTTAAAACTCCAAAATGATCTCCTTTGACTCCGTGTCTCACATCCAGGTCACATTGATGCAAGAGGTGGGTTCCCATGGTCTTGGGTAGCTCCACCTCAGTGGCTTTGCAGGGTATAGACCCCCTCCTGGCTGCTTTCATGGGCTGGCATTAAGTGTTTGTGGCATTAAGGTGCACTGTGCAAGCTGTCGGGGCATCTACCATTCAGGAGTCCGGAGGATGATGGCCCTCTTCTCACAACTCCACCAGGCAGTGCCCCAGTAGGGACTCTGTGTGTGGGGGCTCCCACCCCACATTTTCCTTCTGCACTGCCCTAGCAGAGGTTCTCCTTGAGGGTCCTGCCCCTGCAGCAAACTTTTGCCAGGGTATCCAGGCATTTCCATACATCTTCTGAAATCTAGGTAGAGGTTCCCAAACCTCAATTATTGACTTCTGAGCACCTGCAGGCTCAACACCACATAGAAGCTGCCAAGGCTTGGGGCTTCCACCCTCTGAAGCAACAGCCCAAGCTGTTGGTCCCTTTTAGTCAATGGTTGGAGCACCTGGGACACAGGGCACCAAGTCCCTAGACTGCACACAGCAGAGGGATCTTGGGCCTGACCCACTAAACCATTTTTTCCTCCTAAAACTCTGGGCCTGTGCTGTGAGGAGTTGCCATGAAGACCTCTGACTTGCCCTGGAGATATTTTCCCCATTGTCTTGGGGATTCACATTCAGCTCCTCATTACTCATGCAAATTTCTGCAGCCAACTTGAATTTCTCCTCAGAAAATTGGATTTTCTTTTTATCAAATTGTCAGTCTACAAATGTTTCAAACTTTTATGCTCTGTTTCCCTTTTTAAATTGAAGGCTTTTAACAGCACGCAAGTCACCTCTTGAATGCTTTGCTGCTTAGAAATTTTTTCCACCAGATACCCCAAATCATTGCTCTGAAGTTCAAAGTGCCACAAATCTCTAGGGCAGGGGCAAAATTCTGCCAGTCTCATTGCTAAAACATAACAACAGTCACCTTTACTCCATTTCCCAACAAGTTCCTCGTCTCCATGTAAGATCACCTTAGCCTTGATTTCATTGTCCATATCATTAACAGCACTTTGTTCAAAGCCATTCAACAAGTCTCTAGGAGGTTCCAAACTTTTCCACATTTCCCTGTCTTCTTCTGAGCCCTCCAAACTGTTCCAACCTTTGCTTATTACCCAGTTCCAAAGTCACATCCACATTTTTGGGTATAGTTTCAGCAGTGCCCCACTCTACTGGTACCAATTTACTGTATTAGTCTGTTTCGTGCTGTATGTCATAAACACACACCCAAGACTGGGCAATTTACAAAAGAGCAAGGTTTAATTAGACTTACGGTTCCACCTGGCTGGGGAAGCCTCACAATCATGGCGTAAGGCAAAGAGGAGCAAGTCACATCTCATGTGCATGGTGGCAGGCAAAGAGAGCTTGCACAGGGGAACTCCCATTTTTTAAAACCATCAGATCTTGTAAGGCTCATTCACCACCACCAGAACAGCACAGGAAAGACCCACCTCCCCCAATAATCCAATCACCTCCCACTGAGTTCCTCCCACAACACGTGGGAATTGTGGAAGTTACAAGATGAGATTTGGGTGGGGACACAGAGCCAAACCATATCAATAATCCAGTCTCATTTTTGGTATTCCACAAAATCAGATCTTCAAAGACACAAACCAATTCATCAGATTTGCATAACAACATGCCTCAAAATCCTGGCTAATTCTGTTCCTTTCAAACTAAATGAAACTTCACACTCTTTTCCTGCCCCCAGCCTGTGCCGTCTCCCACAAAACTTTCCTAATTTCTAATTCTTCACAGGAATTTTGCTGCACACCTGCCCCATCTGCTTTTTAGGATCAAAACTAATTACCCCTCCCTTGAGTTCTCACAGTCATTCCTCTGTGTTTGCATCTATTACACTGTATTATGGTTGCTATTTAAGTACCTGTGTTCTCCACTCCACCACTCAAAGTTGCATTTTATCCTCTGCTCCCTTTTTGTGTGTGTGTCTTCAGTAACTGACAAAGTGTCTGCATATAATAAATGCTTAAATATTTGTTGAATTCAAATGAACTAAATAAAAACAAGCAAGTTCACACAAACTTCTCCAAATATGAATTAAACCAGGGTATACATTTTCACACTGATAATACTGCTATCAAATGAGCCAGTTATAACAATGATCTCTTTATGATTGTATTTACTTGGTATTTTATAACAGTTTGGTTCTGACTTTGTTTCCCAACAAAACAATGAGCCCTTTAAAGTTATTATTTATATTAGTATAGCACATATGTTAAGAGCACAGACTCAAATTTATAAGTAAATAGTGCTCAGGTCTTAATTTAACAAGGTGACTGATAGATGACATGGAGACATCAATGCCACTGAAAGAAAAGTTTAATGTCATTCACGCTTTGAGAAACAAGAGGTGTGGCATGCCATGCAGGGCCACAGGACGAGACAGCAGATTTGGATAGGAGACAGAAATAGGGCTTTGGTGGAAGCCTAGGCCAGAGGTTTTATTGGGGTTTCTGTAGGAAAGGCAAGGTGAGGTAGAATAACCTGTTCAGGATTGACTAGTTTGAATAATTCCAATGGGCTTTGGGCTATGGGAGTGGTCTTAGTTGCCTGGTATCTGACCCTGGAATAATTTAGGTCAGAGGAAATATTGGCTTGGTGTATGAGACTACATAAAGCAGGTGGTTGGAGATTAGTTGGTTTGGGTATGAAAGGTATGCTCATGGCCTAGCCCTTTGTTATCTCTAAAGAGTGGCTCACCCTTGGAAGGACAGACTTCACTGACCACCAAGATTTTTAAGATTTCAAAACATAAGATACAGAAAATGAAAAACATGACTAATACAATGACCTTGAACAAGTTGCTCAACCTCTCTCATTTTCCTCATCTGTAAAATGGGGATAATAATTACAACATCATAGGGTTGTGGTGAGGATCAAATGAATTAATATACATAAGACAGATAGAAAAGTATATGACATATACAATATGATGTAAAAATTAGCAATAATATTTGTCACTACATACAACACCTCCCAAAATGCATCCCACAAGATAGGAGGTGCTTGAAAAGTATTGAATGAATGAACGTAGGAATAAATGAAGAAGTCCTCAGGATTACACACCTTAGTGTTGAGCAACCAACATTTCAATTTCTTAGAAACAGAAAAATAATTTATGGGTAAAGCTGGTACTGGAGTGAAAAAGATGAACTGAATCTAGCAAAGGAATAAAATTCTCACTAACTAAAGCTTTTGTTGCTGTTTTCCTAAAGTGCATCTTTTAGTCCATCTATCTCTGTCTCAATATTTAAGGCAGGCATTTGTCTTTCAGGTTTCTTTTGGCATCACTGCAATCATGAAATGGAACATAATTTCCTTCATCCATAACCCAGTGAAGTTTAGTTGGACTTGATATCACTCCCAATTTTAAAAAGAAAATTTGCATCTTCAGACATCAGCAGCATGAGGCAACCTAAGAAATAAGTGTGCATTAGGCCTCTAAATAGACTTTTCCTTTATTATCTGTATGTAGCATCTACCTAATGGAAAATGAAACGACAGCATCCATCTCCTTCTACTAGCATTACAATTTAAAGGAATCCAGTGAACTGTCCTTGTTAAAGCATAGGATCTAGTACGATTCTTTACTTCTAATGAACCCAGCATTTCAGATGCACAGATCTTTAGAATTGGAGAACTGGATGTTTTTCCACCCCCTGGATTTTCAAAGAAGAAAACAGATTCCAAGGCCCCATCTGCCATCTCTTGTCAACAGTCCTGGAAAAAGGACTCATTTCTATGTATTTAGGACACCCAGAATAATGTCTTATTTTTTGAAATCAGCATGGTATCCAAATGAAGGCAGCCATTTTACTAGTATTAATACAAAAAACTTACTTCAGTGAACAATGAGGACTTGAAATATCTATCTACTATATCCCCAAAGCCAAGAGCATGGAAGAGATAATCTATGTTACAACATGGATAAGTAACTAATTTTCTTATTCATAGGTACAAATAGCTGTGTTGGAAACAGCATTGGTTGGAGACTTTGGTGGCCCAAATCTGCCAATCTCTAGATATGTGACTTTATGTAAACTATTTAAATACTCGAGGTCTCTGTTTTCTTATCTGTAAAATGAGGGGATTAAATCAGATGTTCAAGATCTAACATTTCCTGATTTTATGAGACGATTTATAATCAAACTTTATGGTACTAATTACCTGCAGGTCACTTAAGTAGGTCTGATTATCAACACTAATTCACATGGACTTAATATAGAATTAACCAGACCACATGATAACCTCATAAACATACTCTTTATACACTTTTAATCTTTTGGGGTTATTTCCTATAACAAGAGGTCCAATTTAAAAATGAGTTGAGTTATAGGCCTTTATATAGCATTCATTTCTACACACTTGAAATAGAAAATGTTAGCTATTTAATCAGTCAGGTTTATAATTTAGTTTGTAAACTCAGAGACCATATCTAGGTTTTACATAATATTGATTACATGATCAGGGCTCGTTAAAGGATAATAATTTAAAAATCACTTCTAAGTGTTAGCTTTTCCTAGCTAATTTCCTTTCCATGTGAATGCTTCATGTTTTAATATATCACCCTTTTCTCTTATTTATTTATTTATTTATTTGCTCTAGAAAACTGGTGAGAATTAATCTAGAATGATGACAAAATTAATGGGAATTTAAATGGAAGTGTAATCTTATTGGAATTTCATTTCTGATGACATAATAATAGGCTTATATAGCACCTTTCATCTATGGACCTCTAGGCACTTTACAAACATTAGTTAATTCGCACAACAATCCTGTGAGGTTGGCAATTATAATCAGCCCCATTATGTAAATCAGGGAAGTGCAATACAGGGAGGTTAAGTTCCTCAGGCAACAGGGAAACTAGTGGCAGAGCCGGCATCAGACCACAAGCATCCAAATGCTTACAACTGCACACCCAAAGAAGCTTGTGGAAAGCCTACCATTTTAGTTGGTTGCCACGAAAAGACTTCTTTGCAAAAAAAAAAAAAAAAAAAAAATCCCAAAGAAATGTCTAATCTTGCCATTGCTTGCAGTGCTCCACAATGGAGGTGAAAGAACTAGAAGGGTAGGGCAGTATAAAGGAGACTTGCCTCGCAATGTACTCTGCCAAGCTTTTTCTCACCAGGCCAAGACTCCAGCCAAAAGGCTATGGCTATCCCTTTTTTTGCCAGCAACATTTGAAGGAAAAATAACCCAAATGCTAATATGAACATTGTTTATAATAACAGAAATGATTTATTGAGCGTTTAATGGTTGATGGGCATTGTATTAAGATGTTTCATATATGTCACCTCATTTAATCTTTATAATAACCTATATATAAGTATATTAACTATTGCTGTGTAACAAAGCACTATAAAACCCAGGACTTAGAAAAAATATTTATTTTTGTTCTCCTATCTGTGGGTCAATGAGGGGGTTGGTGATGTAGGCTGGACTTGACCTCCAGCTGAAGGTTGGATCCAGGTCTGTTCAACAAGCCTCTCCTACTCCTTAGACATCAGGATAGCTGGAGCATTTTTTCTCATGATAAGCATGTTTTAAACTGTTACTGCATCACATCTTCTGATATCCCACTAGCTGTGCAAGTTCAAGGCCAAAGCCAAAATATGAAGTACTTCCCGCCCAGGATGAGGTCCACCCAGTTGCATGGCTAAATCCAATGTCAATGAAATAGGAAAGTTTATTCCTGATATAAAGTTGGTAGAAACAGTGAATATTTTTGAATAATTGAACCTATCATTGTAGCTATTCTTTTGTTCCTTCTTTTACTTTTTTTTTTTTTTTTTTTTTTGAGACAAGGTCTCACTCTGTGGCCCAGGATGGAGTGCAGTGACATGATCATGACTCACTGCAGCCTCTCTCTCTACCTCTTCGCCTTAAGCAATCCTCCCACTTCAGCCTCCCAAAGGGCTGAGATTGCAGGCATGAGCCACCGCACCCAGTCTTGTAGCTATTCTTGTTCCAGTTTTATAGATGAGAAAGCAAGCTGGAAGCAGGGAAGCCTTAAGAATTTGAATGTCTGTATGTCTCCCAGCCCTGCTGACTGCTGTTTCTCTTTTAACAGCAAGCATATCATAGGTTGCCTTCTCATTCCTCAGATGATCCACTCAGAAGTGACATAAACCCACCTTCTCTTCTTCACTGGAGATTAATGATTTAAATTACAGGGCCAAGCACTTCTCTGTCCTGGTTATGGCTTAAGCAGGGGCTAAATAGTCTTTTTCGCTTCTGTGCCTTTAGTTCCACACGAGACCAAGAAGCACTGAGCCCTCCTCAAACCTTCAACACCAGTGCATTTAAGCTATTAAACCGTCCTGTTGCATTTCAAAGAATGGATGCTGACAATTCACAGAAAGCACCCTTTAGCTTTTGGATGTATGAATTAATCATTCCAGCTAACTAGATACAAAGTTCACCTAAGGTCTCTGACCTTCTGAAGATAAATATTAAACATATCCGACTTACTCAGTAGAAGCAATGCAAGTTACCAACAGTCCCTGGGTCAAGGATCTGAGAGACAATAAGAAGTTCAAATAAATCAGACCATAAGGGGCAGACAAGAATTTTATTACTGATGTAAATACTGCACATCATCCACATACAGTTCTCTCCTGCCAATATCAGCAGGGGCACCAGAAAGTGCGAAATGGGCTGGCTCAATTTTTGTACTTTTGTCAGCTGCTACATCTTTCAACTCTATTTTTAAGATGTAGAATTATGAACACAAGAAAGGAGAAAGGCCTGCAACTTTATTAGTGTATACCTACCAGTTTAAAAGGAGTTAATAATATTTTAACACCTATAAAACTATGCAATGGATAGAAGTTGTGGCATTACAATGTTTGCTTTTCAAATTCCATTTTGCAGAGTGTAAGAATTCCTTGGCAGGGCTACAGGAGCAGCTGCAGGAAAACAGAGAGGCAGAGGTACAGTGCCTTTGGTCTCCCCTTATTCTACTGGAGCAGCTGCATTTTTATCTGCTTTATCAATTGAATTTCATGTACAATTACACTGGAATAAAAGCATTCTGCTGTTTTAAAAATGGTTTTAAACCACTGGTTTTGATCATGTCTTTTTCTGCTATATTTTTCATTTTTCTATACCCAACAATTGTGCTTATCTTGAATATGGCCTTAACATTTATTTATTTAAATTTTGGCTCTTTGCGTATCAGCAAAGAATGGTATTCTCTTTGCCATGATTTTAGCCTTTTTCCAAAACATGCCCCATTTTGTTTTGATTGCTTTAATCTTTTTGTTCTCTTCTCCTTATGTTCAGCATCAAAATTGCTATTTTACTCCTAGCCTAGGGACAGGCATATTCGATACTATTTCAAATAAATAATCTAACTGGAGATTGGAGAGAAAAACAAGATCTCTGAGGTCTGGGAATGGCTGTGTTACGTTTAATTTATGCAAAACCTTCTGTATCACACTCTCTGTAGGATTTTCTTTGAATTCCTGACCACTACCTTTCAGATAGTGGAGTTTCATGGAGCACACAGCAATGATCAGTATAACCCAAAGGGTTCTTTCCAGTCACTTCCACTCTCCATCTCTTTTTGTGAAATGTCACGTACGGATGAGCTGAGAGACCACAGGCACACTTGGGCTGCTCCCTGAAAGCCAGAGCTGCTTCATATCTATTTATATGTGGACATGATGAGGCCTCTTGGACAAACATAGCAACTCTTCACTGAAAATGTCTCAGTTCTATTTTTTAACACAATATTCCAACCCTCCCCTTTCTCTTACCATTAAGGGTATTGCCTCACATTGCACTATCCCTCAGCTTCTTGGTCCTCTGAACTGTGCTATCACTGTAACAGAGAGAGAAGAAAAAATTTAATCTCCAGTGATATCAAGTAACTCCTGTGTCTTTGGCACCATTGCTGGTGAAATCTCTGGTCTATTTAAATTACTGTGAGTTTAGACTTCAAGAAAAACTCCTCACTGATTTTTCCTAAACATTCTTTTTTAATTTTTTAATTTATTTATTATACTTTAAGTTCTGGGATACATGTGAGGAACGTGCAGGTTTGTTACATAGATATACACGGGCCATGGTGGTTTGCTGCACCCATCAACCATCATCTACATTAGGTGTTTCTCCTAATGCTATCCCTCCCCTAGTCCCCCACCCCCCAAAAGGCCCCAGTGTGTGGTGTTCCCCTCCCTGTGTCCATGTGTTCTCATTGTTCAATTCCCACTTATGAGTGAGAACATGCAATGTTTGGTTTCTGTTCCTGTGTTAGTTTGCTGAGAATGATGGTTTCCAGCTCCATCCATATCCCTGCGAAGGACATGACTCATCCTTTTTTTATGACTGCATAGTATTCCATGGTGTATATATGCCACATTTTCTTTATTCAGTCTATCAATGATAGGCATTTAAGTTGGTTCCAAGTCTTTGGTATTGTGAACAGTGCTGTAATAAACATAAGTGTGCATGTGTCTTTATAGTAGAATGATTTATAATCCTTTATAAAGTAATGGGATTGCTGCGTTAAATGGTACTTCTGGTTCTAGATCCTTGAGAAATTGCCATGATGTCTTCCACAATGGTTGAACTAATTTACACTCCCACCAACAGTACAAAAGCGTTCCTATTGCCCCACATCCTCTCTAGCATCTGTTGTTTCCTGACTTTTTAATGATAACCATTCTAACTGGTGTGAGATGGTATCTCATTGGGGTATTTATTTGCATTTCTTTTGGCCAAGACAATCCTAAGCAAAAAGAACAAAGCTGGAAGCATCACGCTAACTGACTTCAAACTATACTACAAGTCTACAGTAACCAAAACAGTGTGGTACTGGTACCAAAACAGATATATAGACCAACGGACCAGAACAGAGGCCTCAGAAATAACACCACACATCTACAACCATCTGATCTTTGATAAACCTCACAAAAACAAGCAATGGGGACAGGATTTCCTATGTAATAAATGGTGTTGGGAAAACTGTCTAGCCATATGCAGAAAACTGAAACTGGACCATTTTCTTACACCTTAACAAAAATTAACTCAAGATGGATTAAAGACTTAAATGTAAGACCTAAAACCATAAAAATCCTAGAAGAAAAGCTAGGCAATACCATTCAGGGAATAGACATGGGCAAAGACTTCATGACTAAAACATGAAAAGCAATGGCAACAAAAGCCAAAATTGACAAATGGGATCTAATTCAGCTAAAAAGCTTCTGCAGAGCAAAAGAAACTATAATCAGAGTGAACAGGCAACCTACAAAATGGGAGAAACTTTTTGCAACCTATCCATCTGACAAAGGGTTAATGTCCAGAATCTACAAAGAGCTTAAACAAATTTACAAGAAAAAAAACAAACAATCCCATCAAAAAGTGGGCAAAGGGTATAAACAGACATGTCTCAAAAGAAGGCATTTATGTGGGCAACAAGCATATGAAAAAAAAGCTCATCATCTCTAAATGTTCTTTATATTGGCAATAACTTTGAAATAAAACCCATGATAATTCTTAGTCACATTTTGGGGTTACTGATGAAAACTAGTTGTAATATTCATTATGAATCAGTACTAGTATTCAAAATGGGAGGGGTATATTGACTTCTATGAAATAAAACATATTTCCCTTCCCTGTAACACAAAGGTAGGCCAGTTGAGGTCCTAACAATCTTTTAATTTCTTCCACCAGCACTGCAGTATGGGTTAGTGTGCAAATTCTGATTCTGTGAAATACCAGTTACTTAAGTCTTGATAGTCAATGTCCCCAGTATGCCACCCATAACTTCTTTGGAATTAACAGTTTTGGGCACCTAGCACTACTAACTGTTGTCCCCTGTCAATCTTTGTCTAAATGTTTCCTCTGGTGACTGGATACATGTTCAAATGTACAGTAGGCTGACAATACAGATAATTAGCACCCTTTGGGAATAGCACCAGCCTATAACTGCTAGGAGTTTGGGGTATGCGTATTCCATTTCTGTAACCCCTCAGTGAGATAATTCTGAGGGTCATACTTCTATACTAGCTTCTAGAATTCTCCAGTGGTATTAAGCTCCAGTTGTCCACAGTGATAGTTGTCTTGAGATCTCATCATTTTTCTGTTCTCTTCCCTTCCCTGACTCACTTTCCACATTTCCTGTTGGCATCTTCTGCAATCAGCTCACAGATAAACCACTTGAACTCAGGCCCTTTCTTTAGGATTTGCTTCTTGGGTAACTCAAACTAAAATACTATTCTATGCCTCAAATTCATCACTGGTAAGGGAGTCAGATGATAATAACTCCCCCAAAGGCTTGTAAAGATTAAATAAAACAGTATCTTTATACTCTTACAATTTCTATGGCCACAAAGTAGGCATTTAATAAATTATATTAATCCATAGTATGTATCCTCCCATCTTGCCTGTATACCTCTATCGCCTCATACCCTGCCACTGTGTTCCCTACTCATTTCAATGAGGACACAGTGGTCTTCTTGCTCTTCCTCAAACATGCCAAGCACACTTCTCCTTCAGAGTCTCTGCACCCTCAGTGTCCTCTTCCAGATATCTGCATGGCTTTCTCCATTACTTCTTTATAAACCTTGCGCAAATGTGATCTGATCAATAAGAATTTCCCTGATCACCACATACAAAGTAGTATTTCCTATAAGATCTCAGTGCCCTCCTTGCCCCACTTCATTCTTCTCCATTATAGTCATCATTGTCCACTAGATCAGAAACACCATAATGGCAGGAGCCATGTTTGTTTCTTGCTCCATCTCCAGCACCTATAAAAGGACTGGGCACCTAGTAAAAGGAAAAACAATATTTGTTGAATGAAAGATCTTCATAAAATCCAAAATTTGAAAAGTCCTTTTAAGTGTAAAAATACTTAAAGATATACTGATCAGGATAATCTTATCAGATTATGCCAGTGGTTTGTGGGAGCTGGCTTATATATGCTCAAAATAGTGAATTATATATTCAGCAATTTTCTTGACCGATTTTTAAAGTGTTGCAGCTTGAAATTGGCCATGATGAAAATATTCACACCATGGAAATTAGTAAATGTTATATATCAAGGCTTTATTTGGGAAGGGGGAATCTGTTTGTCACCACACTACTGATGACAGCTAAAATTCTGGAGCAAACAGAATTTTAAAAGAAAAGTGCTTTTAGGCTAGAACATAGCTTTGGAGTAAGGATAAAGGATAACATTATTGAACACTGACATCATCCTTTGGGCCTTATGTTGAGCTTCATGTCTGAGAGATAGTGCAGAATTGTCCCCCAGGCAGATTTAATAAGATTTGCTTCTATGTTACATTGCACCATGCATACATTTCTACTACTCTTCATATGACATGAATTTTTCATTGTTAATATATAAACAGTTGGCTCTATGAGGACAAGACACTGTTCATCTTTATAATCCCTGGAGACTAACAAAATTTGCCCACACAGCAGGCTGGTGAATGCTTGAACGACACAGTGATAAAAGTCAGGATTATGATGACTGACACAAAAAGTAAGGCCATATATAACTGACCCCATAATGCTTCCTTTCACAGTGTCTTAAAGAATGAAGTTGAGTCTAACCTCACCTTGAATTTGCAATCACTTCTATTAAAATGATGAAAATAATTCAATCAGCTCAATCCAGTTTTCTTTTCTTTTTTGCTTTCCTTTCACAGTGGTTCCTTAAAGAATGAAGTTGGAGTCTAACTCACCTTTGAATTTGCAATCATCATTAAAATGGACAGAAAATAATTCAATCAGCTCAATCCAGTTTTTCTTTTCTTTTTTTTTTCTTTTTTTTTCTTTTTTTTTTTTTTTTTTTTTTTTTTTTGAGATGGAGTTTTGCTCTGTTGCCTGTACATTGCTCTTGTTGCTCAGGCTGGAGTGCAATGGTGCGATCTTGGCTCATCACAACCTCCGCCTCCGCAAGGCTCAAACAGTTCTCCTGCCTCAGTCTCACAAGTAGCTGGGACTACAGGCATGCGCCACCACACCCAGTTAATTTTGTATTTTTAGTAGAGACAGGTTTTCTCCATGTTAGTCAGGCTGGTCTTGAACTGCTGGTTTCAGGTTATCCGCCCGCCTCCGCCTCCCAAAGTGCTGGGATTACAGGTGTGCACCACTGTGCCAGGTCTCCTCCGTCCATTTTTCTTTGCACAAATAAACTCTGCTAAGGATAGGGGTTCTCAAGACATAAATTCTAGTCAACTTGTAAATATATGTTGACTTCTGAAGCCACAGAAATATATCATCAAGAATAAGTTTCAATTTTGACCTTGCATGCCATTCACAAAAGAAGGGTTATTGAAAGTCTGAGTAATATTTTTCTCCTTAGATGAGCATATTAGGTGAGGCAGGAGAGATTATGCTGCAATAACAAATAAACTTAGAAATTGTGGTGCTAGAAATCAATAAAAGTTATTTTTCATTTGCATCTTAGTCTTATGTGAGAGATGTGGCTTTCTCAATAGATCTCCTCCAAGGCACCTCTACACACTTTCCATGGTGGGATCTCAGTCATACCAGCCCCCTGTAATTGGAAGAGATACTGGGAAAGGTAATCTTTCTGTGTATCATGAAAAAAATTATTCTGATGAGCTTCTATTCAGTCTCTGCCAAAATATGTCTAAAAATTATCAGATATTCTATACATAAATTCATTTTACAGGAAATCTCACTACCTCAATTTACTGATAATGGCCCACTTTTCCTGTGAGTAGAAGTCTCTGTTTGCTGCCTGACCAATAGCCTTCTATTTCTCTGCTGTTTAGGAGAGCCTGCATTTTTCACTTAAAGTCTGGTTTTCCTAGCTTCCTGTCTTTAACTTTATGAATCTGAAAGACAAATCTGGTGGGAAGTGCTGGGAAAGACTTTCTTCCCTAATTGAAAAGAGAACAAAGTACATTTCCCTGTTTTCCTCCATTGATGTGGCCATGCAGTCTATTGCATTTGAAATTAGGACTGCCATCTCGTGACAATGAGAAGAGGCACAGCAAAGGTACAGAGGATGGTCGAGTGTGAAAGATGGAAGTTACATGCCTCCTGAAAACAGCAAAGAGCCATTGAATTAACTCTGGAACCCATATATGTTGGGACTCTTGTTAATCGACACAACTTTTTTTCCGTATTAAGATATTTTTCAGTGTATTTTTTATTTAAATAGTTTTAGGATATTTATGGCATTTCAATAGGTGTTTTTAAGTGCCTAATTGATGCAAGATACAGTGTTAGCTGCAGAAAGATGTTTTCCACTCACCTCAGATCTGTTCCAATTTCACCCAAAATGCTGCCAAACATCTCCTTCAAAAAGGCAAGCAAATACTCTCTGATATTGAGGTTTACCTACATATTTAATTTGGAACCTCTCCATTCCTAGAAGATGGACTACAGTTTTAGAACTGTTAAAGTTCGTTGTGTACCTCAAGAGAGACTGTCAGGGTGGACCACCCTTGTTATTAAAAACAACAACAAAAACAACAAAACTTGGCAATGAAAACCAAGCCTCAAAGGATGGTCTCTAGTAAAGAGATGGAGACTAGGGGAGTTAAATTATTCTTTATTTCAAAGTAACAGCAATGTTTGGTTTTTTCCCAGGTAGATCAAGAGAAAAGAACTTTGTGGGGAGCTTGGGACTCAGGGAGAAAAGGAGGTGAGAGAAAGTTTTCTGTAGTGAAACATGTCAGCTAACCAAGGCTAAGCATAGAGAGGACAAGGCACCTTGGCTACGCTGATGTCTGATCTTTTCGTTTACATTGTTTTCTCTTTCTGCTTATATTTCACCATCATTATTCTCAATTCTTCAGCAGTTGTTACACATAATAGAGTTACATATTGGTTTCTTAAAGAATAAGGTGAGCACGGTGTTTGAGTTTGCTTAGGACTTTTCCAGTCTTAGCCCAGAAAGTCCCACATTCAAGGCAAACCCAAATGGCTTGTCATCCTACTTAGAAAACAAAGGCAAGAGGGTGAGACCTGTGAGTGGGAGTGGTAATTAAATGGTGAAAGCTGATCAAAATTGAGATGCAAGTAGTGTTCTGACCAGGAAGTGAGGGATCCCAGGAGAATGTAAATTTTATTTTCATGGGAATTCTGAATGATATAGGATAGGTGGTTACACTTACCTCGAGGACACAGGAAGTCAAATTGACTATATTAATGGTAAAGAAAAGAGTAACTCCAGAGGGTTGGGGATTTGGAAACATAGGGATCCTGGTGTTGCCAGATTAAACTAATTTCTATAATTGTAGCAAACGCTGAGAAATTCAGGGCTCACTAAGAATGTATAGCAAAACAATCTCTCTGGAAGCATCTGGAAAGTCCTCCTTGAAGACAAAGTCCTGGCTATATTGAATTTGAAGTCTTTCAGGCAGATTCATTCTCTAGCATCACTGACATAAAGCAGTGACTTCTAATGAGTACAATTAATGGAGACTTTTTGTGACTGCAAAAAGAACTTGCAAACTAGTGTGAGAATTACTATAATTCTGATTTTAGCTGCTTCAAGCGATCTTTAATAGGCCCTTTCTCCTTCTATGAGGCTATCCCATCCTCAAAATGTGCCAGACTTTAATCTCTCTACTTCATTTCTACTCAGCTTTGCCTAAAGATAAAATTTTCACATAAATAAATTCTACTTAATGTATTATCTAGTTAGAGAGTCGATTCTCCCAGATACAGTCACTTCATGTGGAGGAGTGATGATAATGCTGGATCACTTCAGCCATCAGTGTAAGGTGTTGGGACATACAATTTTGACTCCAGGAAACTCAAGATCTCTCCTGAGTAAAGCCAGTTTCCAGAATGAAAAAGAAAAAACTTATCTCTGACTATATGTACCACATTCCTCAGAATCCCCCTGAATTCCTTTACCTAGACAGCTTGTTGTCCATGTGGGAAAATATACCATGCAACTTTTTCAATTATACAGAAGACAACTTTCTCTAGCATTTCAATAAAATTCAGTGTTACTGGCTTCATATTCCCACTAATGTATTGTAATCATATACTTGCTATTTCCGATTAGCAATAATATCATTGCAGCTTATTAGGTCAAAAGACCACTAAGAGAAGTTCTCTACCAAAATAGAATGTCTGAAAGGCATTTTTGAAATTCATTTTAAGAATGAGGTCATTGAAAAAAACAGGTTGCAATGAAGACTGTAAAGCAGACACTTGTTCTTTGGTGAAAACGTTCATACATTCTGAACTGAATAAATCTAACATATTTTAAATATTATATTGTTTCAAAAAATAACAAACTGTCAAGTCCTGCTACTTATCACTGTGTGATCTTAGGCAAGAAACTGGAACCATAAATGAAGTATTTATAAACAGCATATGCGGCAGCATTCCAAAAGGCAGTCTTCTCTCATACTTTGGTTTACAGTGTATATCTTTTTTTTCCCCCAAGATAACTGTAACCACCTTGAGGCAGAACCTCTTTACTCCCCCAAGGACAGTCTGCACCAGAATGCACCTAGTAGAAGTGTAATATATATCTGTCAGGTATAAAGCTAAATCGTTGATTGTAGGTTACTCATTATGCTGTTCCAATCTTCATTGCACTTTATGATGTGTAAAACAGGAATATAGCTTATCAACTATAATCCATTTTTTGAGGCTCAGAATGATTTTTGAGATCAAATAGGGCAGTGGGAAGAATTGCTGAGTTTGAATATGGCCTCTACCACTTACTTGCTGTGAGATTTGGACAGATTCCTTATTTCTCTGCTTCAGTTTCCTCATCTGTAAATAAAGACAAGAGTATCTATGATCAAGTAATTATGAAGAGTAAATGAATTATAAATAAAAAGGGCCTAGAATTGTGTTTGGTGTAATAGCAAGTACTTTATGGTTGTCTTTTATTCAAATAAATTTATAAAATCATATGATTTTACAGAATTGATCTGTAAAAAATCACTATATCTACTTTCTTTCTGCCCAAGTTATTACTAAATCCATGGTATACTTTACAATCAATAATATCTAAAAAATAAAAAAAAATAAAAAAAATTAAAAAAAAAGAAATAGAGTTGCTAAAGAAAACCAAAGAAGACACAATGAGAAAAATGACTAAGGAAGATGGAGACAGAGAAGTGAGAGAAAGTGATAAGGTGCATGGAAACCAAACTCAAAACCTGGCCCATTGCTGTTCTCTGGTTGCCAGATTTTGAAAATGATACTGATCTTATAATTTTACTTGGATAGTCATCTCCTGACATACAGGGTTGGTTGAAAGGATTTGTTCACTTTTCCCCTTACCTCCTCCCTTCCGATGTTTGTTTTTCACCGAGGTGGTTGGGAAGGAAGTTGTGGCAGCAATGAGGAATGTGAGAAGTTCTGACTGTCTCCTTGCCCTTTGCCTAGAAATATCAGTATCTTAACCATAATATTTAAATTGATGAATGGAAAGCCATAAAACTTGGTGGAAAACAACATAGGATACCTTTTAATTTCATATTGACACGATTCAAGCTTTAGCCTAAGAATACTTACATAAAAATAAGCAACTTTTTTTTTACAAACTATGATGTCTTCACATTTCATTTCAGGGTCACATTTGAAACAGCTTTCTACCCAGCTTCTTAAATTATGCTTTATAGAAAACTAGTTTCATGAAATACTTGTTGTTGTTTTATATTTTTATGTCTTTTCCCCTCATGGCTAATGCCATTTTTAAAAAAAGTTCAGCGGTCAAAAAAGTAAGGAAAACATTGAGTTAACCAAAATTTAACAAGTGTCTTTTTGATAGGAATTTTCCGAATCTTTATTATGCCAACAAGCATCATCCATCTTTTAGAAGAAGATACCATAGGTAGTTTTTGCCAAATGTATTCGATCATGTAACATTTATAAGCATTTTTTTCCATGGTACATTGCAATGGTTGATGGACATGCTTTAGGAAAAACATTATGAAGGGCTGACTTAATTCAATGATGCAATGCATTTGTTTAACATTCTGTACTTTTCAAAAAATCAAAACCCTTTCACATGTGTGGTAATAATTCTTCATCACAACAGTCCCCAGGAAGCAACAGAAAAATAATTAATACAGCCATTTTATGGATCTCATAAACAGAAGCCTTAAAGGTGGAATTATTTTCTTAATGTCATACCATATGACATAGAGGACTTAGGTCTCTTGATTCTATGCCTTCTCCTATTGAACATCTTATTCAGGATACATTTTCTTTTTTTTACCATTGTAGTCTTATATCAACTCTCATGTATCTGCTGCAAACCCAGTGAGGAATTATGACATCTGAGGGCATATAGTACTCTGGGTCTTGGTCCCTAGGTTAAACTGGAAAGGGATATTTCTGAGAAGCCAGTAGCCATTGGAGGCAGCTATAAAGCAACCATAAGATAATCTGGAGCAGACCTTCTGATACTGATTGACAAGAGACTGGTATAGGGCTGGAACCTGGAGCTCTGATAATCAGGTTATTGCTTAGGAGGTGATGAATAAGAGCCATGTTGGCTAAAACTCTGTCTTATTAGTTGTTGGCCACAAGGCCTGTAAGTAGATCATCATATAATGTCACAATGTGCTAATATGATGCAGGGTGGACCTTCTGCTTATCAGCTCCCAGGTCTGGAAGGTCAAGAAGAGCGAGTGAGGCCGAAAGAAGGAAGTCATGGTGCTAACTACTTTGGCTTCCATTTGGAACTTTAAAGGTGGAAGACATTTTTGGTGATGATACTTGGTTTAACCCAGCACATCAAGATAAAACAACAACAACAACAACAACAAAATACAGACTTGGAATTCAACACCAAACACCATTATTATAGGCAATCCACTGCTGTGGTTTGGATGTGGTTTGTTCCTGTCAAAATGCATATTGAAGTTTTATTGCCAGTGTAGCAGTATTGAAGGTGGGGCCTAGTCAGAGGTGTTTGAGTCATGGGGGGTGTATCCCTATGAATAGGTTAAGGCCTTCTTGAAAAGTGAGTTCCTGCTGTCACAGATATAGATTAGTTCCCACAACAGCAAGTTGTTATAAAGCAAGTTTCCTTTACCTATTTGGCCCCTTCTTCACATCCACTCCCCTGTTGACTTTCTGTCATGCTATGATGCAGCATGAAAGCCTTTCTAGAAATCAGCGCCGTGCTCTTGAACTTCCCAGCATGCAGAACCATGAGTTAAATAAAACTGTTTTATTCATAAATTACCCAGCCTCAGGTATTCTGTTTTAACAATACTAACCAGACTAAAGCATCCACCTTCTCATGATTCAAGTCTCCAAAGATGAAAGGAATGTGCAAAGTTAAGTACAAACCACAGCTTCCCAGGGAAGAGAACTCTATTCAGCCAAAAGTCAGTTAATCTCATAATGTGTTTTTGTGTGCTAAGTGGTATTTCACTGTATAAGTTGTCTAAGCAGCACACGCTGAATTGTCACCAGCCTCCAGAGCTGTAGGAAAAGAAAATGATCGCTTATGTATCTTGGTGGCTTATCAGGGAACATGGAAGAATTAATGTATTTATTCTTTCTTCTGAGATTAAATGTAATTGCTTTAAAAAGATAATCATGCTATTGTTTGAATTGTATGCATTTCTTATGAAGCACTAATACATTTTCCTGTAGTCTGACAAAGTGTATGGTCTCTTATCCTCATTTCCCTGTGGATAAATACTTTGTTAATTAATAAAGTATTATATGAGCACTTAGTGTCTGCATTTAACAGTGCAAGGATTTCATTCAGATTATGTTAATAGATTGTTCACATTATTCCTTGCATTAATTACAACTTCTTTCTGTGGTTTCATCATAAGAGCATTGTCATTGTGAATACAGGGGGCTTTTTGGATTATATTCTTGTTTGACTGCTGAAGTAATGCTAGGGAAATATTATTATATCGAGCACTACTCTCTAGGACTTGGCAAAAAGCAAAAGCAGATTCAATTATTCTCAAATCTTAGAGGAAACACAATTAGTTACAGTCTGGCCTACTTGAATCAAAATCAAGCAATTTGGGAATTTCTCTATAACCTACAATATCTTAGAAAAAATTATAAAATTAGTATTTCATATCATGATACCTTAGGCATAATTATCAGAAAAAAAAAATACAAGGTTTCCTCCCAGTAATTGGTAAACGTGGAATTCAAATGAAGCAAATATGTAGCATGGGTATAAATCTTAGGCCACAGGCGTGCAAGAAATTTCACTTTCTTTTTCCCAAATCAGCTTAATTCTGACTCACCTCACCTTATCTAAGTAAGCTCTAGATATCTGCTGTGCTGGTGGGAAATTTAACCAGGGGCGTGTGGACCACCCCCTTTGCCCAGTGTTATGCAAAGGTTCCCAGGTCTTAGGTAATACCTGGAAATGAGGAACGCCCTGGGTCATCAGCCATTAGTCTGTTATGGTTACTACTGAGGTACGGCAGGCCTAGTGCTCAGGGTCCCTTCAGGTCTGCCTATGCTCCATTTGTACTTGAGCTGTTTGATGTACTTTCGAAGGCTGAGGATCTCTATGTCTGCCCTGGGGATGAGCCTCCTCAACCATATCTCAAGGAAATCATTCACTCACCAGTCTACAGGCAGAGTACTACCACAAGGAAATATGTCAGTCCTCACCATCCCATTCTCCTCCTCCATCTCTTTTTCTTTCCTGGGAAATATTTTTCTTCTTCATACCTGTTGCTCTGATAGTCACTTATTTCCTCTGTCTCTAGTTGTCCTCAGAAGCAATCTTAGCATTTATCTTTTTAGGCTTTTCCTAGCCAGATGGTAACTGAAGATTTCTGCCAGGCCAAAACATCTCAGAGGTCTATCTGCAAAAGGGTCAGCTATGTGCTTAGAATACAGGTGTGGGGAATAAACATACAGGGCAAACACATAAATTATCTTGAAACAAATCCTGGAACATAAACTATTTTCCAAAGACATGCAATTTTATTAAAAAATAAACTTTACAAAGTACAGTTCCGATGTTACTATTTCAGATAAAATGAGAAATGATTTGTAAAAATAAAACTAGTTTGAATTCAGAATTTATAAAAGCCCACATTTGGGGTTTTACGTGGGAATGTGATAAAACATTAACATTTGATGTTTTGTCTATTTGTTTATAAAAGTAATTAGGTTATTTTCATTTTATTTCTTAAATATTCTCATGAAGTGTAACTGTAGAAACTAAGAAGCAGGTTTTCTTTCCTCCCTTTTAATGCACACTCCTATAGTCATTCTTGCCTCTAGAGTCTTCCTGTTCCAACTCCTTCCGGGTGTACCCAGCTCCACATGCAGTTTTTCTCACTCATGACCAGCTCTTGCCCTTTGTACCAAGACTTCTCGCATATCTAGGGCTGCAGATTTAGCAAATAAAAATACAGGACGACAATTAACTTTGAAGTTTATATAAACAATGAAAAAGTTTTTAGAAAAAGTATGTTTCAAATATTGCATGGGACATACTTATAGAAGAAAAAAATTTCATTGTTATCTGAATTTCAAAGTTAACTGCGCATTCTGTATTCTATCTGGCAATTCTACTTATATTCCCAGGTCATTATCTCACTTTTCTCCAACCTTTCCCACCTCTTTTCACAGAATATTGTTCCATGTAACTAATCTATGGGTATGAAGTTTTAATTAAGCAAAATAAATAAGCTCTAGATATCTGCTGTACTGCATTCAACCTACAGTCAGCAATAATGTATTATACACTTAAAACTTTATTAAGAAGATTGATCTTACCACAATAAAACAAAATTAGACAAAGAAAAGGCATTGTAGTAAATATGAAAGAAATTTCAAAGAAGAGGTACTTTGATTGAACACCCCACAATCTTCGATGAATTTCTCAATCTGTTCTCTTAGACCCTGAACTGTCTTAGAAATAGGAAACTGGCTTCAAAAAGTATAATCTAACAGCCTCAGAATTCCACACTTACGGTGGAAACAGAGTTAAAATAAAGAGTTATAATTTAAGTCAGAGGACTTCGTGTGATGTAAGATAGAAAACTTGAACAGTTTATAATAATCAGGCATCCTGAATTCATAAAATAAAAGGAAAAACATCACACTACAGTTAAGAAAAAAAGGAGACTTTTTTTTTGTTTTTAACTAGATAGCACTAGAGTTAGAAAAGTAAGCTGATTGAATGGTTCTCTTTAGAAACCATCCATTTGGAATATGAAGACCCTTGTTGTAAAGAGAAGAGTGGCTGGGGAGGCGAAGCCCATTAAAGTTGGCAGTTGTGCTTTGTCAACTATTTAGTGTGGTTGAAGCAAAGGTAAAGTAGCAAGGATTGTTCCTGCAGGAAAATATATTTAAACTTATAGGCCAGGCTTTATAAGTAAGAGTGCCAGGACAAGAAAAGTAGAGGTTTTATTTCAGGGCAAAATGAGAAATGCACAGGATATGGTCCTTCTGGTTCAACAAAGTCTCCAAGATGCTTTCAAGTTGAACATGTTTCTGAGCATTGCAAGGATAGCTCCTAAATGGTTATTCTTAAACTGTTGCTTATTAAATCAAATCTGAATCTGGCAAAGTAACAGCAGAAGCCAGGGGAAAGCCAGTAGATGATGCATTAATGTGACCTTGAAAATAATTTTCAAGTCTTACTCGGCAACAGAATTTGGTTATATCCTGCTTCATATGGAATGATTTCATTCCTTTGGGGGTTTTTTTGTTTATTTGTTTGTCTGCTTTTTTATCAATCTGCCTTCCACAATAGCTATTTAAAGTAAGCATTAAATTTATCAAAAGTGTATTCTTCATTGTAATTAATTCTAAAAGATAGAAGAATACCATCTTCTTCTGCAAACAGAATGAGCACCTATGGAATTCAACAATATTTATGAAGAAAGAAATTGTATTTATATAGGAGGGAAAAAAAAGCAGTAGATTGAGGCAGATCTGTGTTTAAAACACAGCTCATTTACTAGCTGTGTGGCTTTGGATGGATCCATTAACCTCTCCGAATTTCTTTCCTTAATTATAACATGCACTAATAATGTCTTGCATACATGAGAGTTACGAATTAAAAATAATATGTGTAAAGTGTTTCACACACAATAATAGCTACAATCTAATGAGGCCTATTAAGATATCCTGAGGCTCATAAAGGAGAATTGCTGAGACCTCTTGAATAACATTTCTCAAAATGTGTTGGGAAAACATTAGTCCCTACCGATGTGTCTGCTATTATCAAATTTGGGAAATGTGTTTTATAGGCTTCTATTAGAAATTAGTAAAGACTCTGAGAAGCTCTGCAACTAAGAAATCTGCTTCAGTTCAACACTGAGTTTTCAAGGCCTGAGAATTCTGTAACCTTTTATTAGACATCAACAGGAATTCCAGTCTTGGGTAAACTTTGCCCCTGACATCAAAAAAGAAAGTCAATTCATTACAGTTTGTTCAGCTGAGGATGTGTTTCTTACTATGTTATTTTGACATTGTTACCTTTCTTTTTCACTGATTTTTTAACCTCCAGTTTTAATTCATGAAAACAAATTTGAAGGAAATGTCATTTATTAAAAGTATAGCATTTGTCAGACAGATAGATTGCAAAAGTTTTCTCCCATTCTGTAGGTTGCCTGTTCACTCTGATGATAGTTTCTTTTGCTGTGCAGAAGTGCTTTAGTTTAATTAGACCCCCATTTGTCAATTTTGGCTTTTGCTGCTATTACTTTTCGTGTTTTAGTCATGAAGTCTTTGCCCATGCCTATGTCCTGAATGATATTGCCTAAGTTTTCTTCTAGGGTTTTTATGGTTTTAGGTTTTACGTTTAAGTCTTTAATCTATCTTGAGTTAATTTTTGTATAAGGTGTAACAAAGGGCTCCACTTTCAGTTTTCTGCATATGGCTAGCCAGTTTTCCCAACACCACTTATTAAATAGGGAATGCTTTCCCAATTACTTGTTTTTGTCAGATTTGTCAAAGATCAGATGGTTATAGATGTGTGGTGTTATTTCTGAGGTCTCTGTTCTGTTCCATTGTTCTGTACATCTGTTTTGGTACCAGTACCATGCTGTTTTGGTTACTGTAGCCTTGTAGTATAGTTTGAAGTCAGGTAGCATGATGCCTCCAGGTTTGCTCTTTTTGCTTATGATCGTCTTGACTATATGGGCTCTTTTTTGGTTCCATATGAAATTTAAAGTTGTTTTTTCTAATTCTGTGAAGAAAGTCAGTGGTAGCTTGATGGGGATAGCATTGCATCTGTAAATTACTCTGGGGATTATAAATAATTCTACTATAAAGACACATGCACACATATGTTTACTGCAGCACTATTCACAACAGCAAAGACTTGGAGCCAACTCAAATGCCTATCAATGATAGACTGGATAAAGGATATGTGGCACATATACACCATGGAATACTATGCAGCCATAAAAAAAGATGAGTTCATGTCCTTTACAGGGACATGGATGAAGCTGAAAACCATCATTCTCAGCAAACTAACACAGGAACAGAAACAGGCACAGGAGCAGTGCATGTTCTCACTCATAAGTGGGAGTTGAACAATGAGAACACATGGACACAGGGAGGGGAACATCACACACTGGGGCCTGTCAGAGGGTGGAGGACTAGAGGAGGGAGAGCATTAGCACAAATACCTAATGTAGATGACAGGTTGATGGGTGCAACGAACCACCATAGGACGTGTATACCTATGTAACAAACCCACACATTCTCCACATGTATCCCATAACTTAAAGTATAATAATTAAAAAAAAAATACCAATCTATTTTCTTACTATGGGACTTTTCTTATGCAACTTTCAAGTTTAAAGTTTTGTCATCTGACCTAATTCATTTCTTTAAGGAACTATTATATTTACAACAAAGAAAATGCACTGATCCTTTGTCTTATGAAAGACATATGAATGCTACTTTCCCAGCTTCTGCAGATACAGATGCTGAATTGTCTCAGCTCACATACTAAGCCTTTCGCCTCACCTCATTCTATCAAATTCCACTGGTTTTTGCCCTCACTGTTCTTTCCATCTAAGGCAATACTTACCATCACAACATAAATATAATCTCCACTCTTTCACTTGTTTTGCTCACAAACTTCATCTCTTCCCCAACTAGGCCTCTTATTCCCATGAAAAATTGGGAAATAGCATTTCTACAACAGCTGTACAGAATGTACATGAATCAGGTCATTTACCCCCACCCTGGGCTTGCAATTCCATGATCCATCCCTCATCAACTTGACTCCCCTGCTTCCTGGAGCCTCAACAGAAAGAGTCTCACCTAATCAATCCCAACTTCAACAGTTAAATTTAGACATTTTTAGTAACTCAGAAGCAAATTGTTGGTAACTAGAGAATCAAGTATTTTTGGCAATTGATATATAAAATAGCAGCAATTATTGTATGGCTGGGAAAGTACATATGATTATCTTACAAGATAAGACTTATCTATAAGCAGACTAATAACACAGTCTTACTTAGGTACTGTTTTTGGTCTTTGGATGAAGTAGTCTATTAGTAATACACTGTAATCCAGAAGTTGCCAAAGTTGCTCCCATCTGTCCTTTAAGAGCATTTCATATGTGGCCATCATGCAATGAGCCCAGAGACCAACAGCTCCAATCCTACAGGACTTGTAAAAAGCACTAGTTGTGAAATGCAGCCAGAGAACTCATCGCATGATCTCAATTCCTAAAACATTGCACCATCAAACAGACATGCTGGATTGGCAGTGGCTGGCTGAGTGATGTCCAAGACCACAGTCATGGCAGTGAAAGGACTGAGGTGTTTTGGCACCAAATGTGGTGAATGGTTCCTCCATGGTATGCTTGCTTCCAGGTGCTATGATAAAAACCTTGGCTTTTTGATGATTCCTAAAATTATTCCTCTACCCAACATAAGACTATAAACAAAAAGGAATATGGATGAACTCCCTGGATGGTGAAATATACGATCACTATTATGGCAGAGTGTTATACACCTACTCATAATCCAACTTCAGTTTTATTTTTAATATTGTTACTTTGACACATATGAACACTCACTGTAATAAAATTCCAGTGTAAGTTTTTTTTTCATCAAGTTTCACCTTCCCAGAGCAGGAGGCTTTTGAATTAAAAAATCTAATAACAATATCCAGCACACATAGCAATTTTCCCAATACAAACACTACTCTTAAATACTTCACATGTATTGACTATCTTAATCCTCACAGCAATACTATGAAGTAGATACTACTATTATTCACATTTTAGAGATGACAAGTGAGGTCAAATCATTCGAATTGTGTAGACTGAAGCACTGTGATTGATTGTGAGCAGTTACAGACCTGACAGCCCTGTTGGAGTTAGGCAGCAGAAGAAAAGGACTTGAGGTTGACATCGTCCTTGCCTAAATGATAACTATAGGAATCATTCTCATCACAGCTGCCCCAGTTTCCTAACCTGTAAGATAAATATATACTTATCTCTCCTCCCAGAATATCTGAAAATATACTTACAAACCTCATAAAAACCCATGCCAACCACTATGAATAACATTGGAACCATTATTAATAACTAACTTAAGACTATGGAAATGGAAGAACCACAATTTGAGCCACAATTGTCCAAATCCTTGTGCAATACTACGTATTCTACGAGGAGAATTATGAAATAAAGAATGTGTTATCTGGAACCATTCAGAGGTCAGGATTCTGGGGCAAATTCTTAGGGAAGAGAGGCAGTTATAGTTAATTCAAGTTATTTTTCTAGTTAGGGCCACATGTTAGGATGAGTCAAATCACATTATATGCAACCACTTTTGACTTAGAAAAATGACAATTTCATGTGGGTCAAAATAACACAATGTCTTACTTTATGGGGGATCTTAGGAAAAAGGATGTTGATTAGAAGGAAATCTGTAACAAGAGTAAGCTGAAATATCTAGCTGAAAACAACTCATCTATATCAAACTTGTAGCAACTTTGAATACATGATGGAGTAGTAGGTATGCAAACTATACTTATTCCTATGCAAATTTGAGTCAACCTATGAGATTATAATTAGCCCAGGTGATACACCTGGAAATCTATAATTTTTGTCCTCATGTCTGGTATTCCAGAATACCTGGTGTAACTATACTCCATCTTTCCTGGCAGGAAATTTTAAATGCAAATTTTCTAGAAGTTCTCTTGCAAAACAACAGAGTAAAATAATAAGAACTCCTCTTTTTATGTTTTTTTTTTAACAGTGAGGTAATGTAATGGAATTCTGAAATATATTCTGTAACTGCCATTGTGTTCTGTGAGATATCCCTACAGAAACAGATTTGGAGTCACTCCAGTTCATGCTGTCAGTTTGGACTAAGACAGGCAGTACGAATGGGCAGACAATTTTTTCGATAATGAAATCTAGAAATTTGTTTGGAAGACCCTGAACAATTTCACTGGTACTCTTTGATGCTGCAATGCCATCAGCATGAAATGGAATAGTTCTGCTTTAAAGTGCCTGGCAAAAAGAGGCGCATGTCTCTGCATCTCAGAAGCACAAGGCGTAAACATCATGTTACTGTAAATTCCATTTTTTACAGCAGAGATTAGTAATGTATGAGCATGCATTTCTTATTGCCATTCCAATGAATTTCCTGAAGACTTTTAATTCTAAATAAAAGAAGGCATGTTTATATTTTCTGCATTGTCACGTGTGTGCAGTACATGTAGTAAGAGCTACAGACACTCAAGGAAAAGGAAAATTATGAATCTTAGAAGAATCATCTTTCTATCCATAAGCAGATTTGGTGTGTCTGGAGAGATCAAAAGACTCTGTACATATTTTGAAAAGT